AATGGACGCCACATATATTCAAAATATCCCAGCTAGTAAGAGCAAAGATTACTAGGTGGGTGAAATATCGCTCCAATTCGTATGTCATTTGTCATTTCTGCCCATCTCCGGGATAAAACGGCCTCAAACCACCCACAATGAAATGAAATATTCTTGGGAGTGTGCCCTCAACAATTGAGCTCGATTGTATTCATTTATGCTTGCATGCGGTCAATTTGCAGTGGTATTGCATTTTGATGCGTGTTTAGAAACTGGCGTATTTCATAATAAGCTACGTATTCAACGCCTATGCCTGCCTTTGCTTCTACGTTACAAAAAAAAATTAAAAGCAAAAATGCTCACAACATACATATATACATATGAAATGAACCACTAAAAATACAAGAAAAGAAAACGTACCAACTTTTCCTGTAGGGAAGAAGAAGTAAGTGGATGGTAGAAGAATAATGGCGTAAAAGGAAACAAGAACGTAGTAAAATGTATTACCCACTTCATCATACTCAAATGAAGCCCGTCCCATGGCCTGAAATAAAATGTTGGACCAAATAAGTGCGTCAACGAGGGTAGGCAAGACAACGACTCCGACGAAACATAAATTTACATCGTTATGAAGTGAAGAAAGGGATGTAGATTCTATGATATTTTTGCAGCTTGGAACGATTAAGAGTATCTGAATGTAAGTCAATAGTTTCACGGTTTTTCGAGCGCTTTCCCAGAGTTATCTCATTTCCTAGAACTGTGAGAAACACAAGCAAGAAGGCGTTGTTCCACGAATATTTCGATAGAAAGGATTTGCAAACTACTAAATTCTTATCCAAATCGTTCTATTTCATTAATTTACGAAATAGAAAGAAGGACAAGAGCAAACCTCGCATTTGATATGAACAACAAGAAAGGACGACCTGTTAGATAAGAGATTGTGAACAGCTCTTTGACACAATTAATTATAATTGATTTACTACATACTCGTACTCGTTATGGAACCATATAAATTCTTTCTGAAAACCCTGGTCAAATTATACGAAGAGCTTTCAATTCAAGGAAAAAGACATCGAGGGCGAAATTTCTCATAGATTAGATAAAGGAAACTTAAGAAGTAAAAAAAAACAATAAAATGTAATATGTTAAACGCCACAGGTTATAACAGCAATCCGTTAGCAGCTCAGTTTTCTCGGAAAGGTTACTGCTGACTTTACCATCATATCTGTAACTATCTACGTACTATCTGGTCTACGAAAACGGCCCTTTTTCGAGAATATTCGAGAACCGAACAGAAAACTGCCCACGCATCAATAAAGCGAGCACATCAAGCAACGATATAAGCTTCTTCGACAGCAAAAAGTATGGACATAATGCTGAAATGAAATTCTAGCGCTAATGTTCAAATGTATTGGAAGGAATTTAAAACAGGCTGGCCTTATTCTGACAACAATCGCAACCGGTTCAATCTTTTCGAGCAAGCTTTCCCAATAACTTAAAACTTAGCATAACCACGATCCCTTTGAAGAGATGGGCAATGAGCAGATGGTCATGATCATTCTCGATGTTCATAATCAACAAGTCAGACCAAATTTTGAAAAAGCTGAATGCAGAAGAGCTAGTCTTCTTCAGCCACGACGACGAGCAGTTCAGCGATCGCCCAGTGGACAGGCGAATCGCTTCAGGACCGCCCTTTTCTGCCGGCTCGGCTCGGCTTGGCTTGGCTTGGCTTCGATCGCGTCTACCCAATCTCCTCATTACTTATCCGCTTTCTTGTTGTTAGCTCAGGGATGTATTGGTACTTTTTGATATTTGGAAATCCCCAGGTTCCCTATTTCTATTTATAAAAGTAGATCCTCCACTAGGCGACTCACCTTTTGCTTTAGTTGTTCTTACTTCTTTAAGCTTTTACAGCTTTAATTTATCAAATTTCTCCGTATTCAAGTAGTTTGTTAGCTTTTGTGCTCCGTATTTTTATAGTTGCGCTGTGGCAAGTAGGCAGTAAGCGCAAAGGGAAAAAAGAAAATATTTCTCATTTCTCATCATTAGGTTTCCGTTGTTACATGCTTTAGGGAAAGGAAGGCAGTGGGTCGACCTTTTCATAGGTGTTCATGTATTGGAAAACGTTTTGTTTTCTTCCGATTAATATCTTTGCTTGAAATTTGCTCTACAAGCCTCCGTCGATTCGAATTTACTTCTCTCTCATTTTTTTGAACATCATTATCGTTCAGACGGTCAGAGAATTGATAGGTTTTTGAGCTAGGTAAGTTGAATCTATTCTGTATGGTGTGCACTCGTAATACCCTGTATCATCTGTCGTTCTGTTGTGATCATTGATTCATTCGAGAGGTCACCGTAACCTCTATCCGTCCTTGTCGCGTGTCAATGTAATCCCCTGGGCCCATCTCGGTTGAGAGGCACAAGGTACACCTTCCATCCATTTATCGTTTTCGTGAATGAGTCTGACCATCCCTTTCTATTCGTTCAGAATTTTCGTAAAGTAGTCTGACCTTTGGACCAGTGGTAGCCCTGATGTTCGCCTTCTCCTAATAAATAGTCCACCAACGTTACGAACTAGGGCTTGCGCTAAAAGAAGTATCATAAATCTTTAGTGGAGGTCGTCGTCATTGAGGGTTAACAATGAGACAGTGTTCCGAAGGGACAATTATACAACCGGTTCTCCCTCTAGGGAACGATCTCAGATCTGTAGTCAGCTTACCAGTGGTAAATTAAATATCCAATGTTTTCCTCGTGGCCATAAGGTTTGAAATCAATCATCAGTCTGCACTTCATTGTTATTACCACGAAGCTCATCCCTTGCGATGTTTATTACAAGGTCCAGAAATAGTTTCTTGGCGGATAGGCTTACGTCGACAGCTTCTTGAGATGTTGTCGCGATGGCTTCTCCTGCCTCTTTCGCTGTAGCCGGTATCGATTTCCCCTATGAATTTCTGTTCGTTCCGTCTCTTATACGCATCAATGGGGATTGATCATCATCTTGTTTTGATAGTACAACTCTAAAAATCCAAAAGATTCTATTGACACAGCCTATTGGTTGAATTGTCATCCTGACGGCGATTTGACATATACATTTGCCACCAGTTATGTAGACATTCGATATCTTGTACCAAAATGCTTTAATGGGCGAATTTTCGACGAAGTTTTTGTAAGCCATTAAGGAGGCGAAGGCAAGCGGAGTCTCGATAGTGTAAGGGATAAGAAGGTATCCGAAAGCACAAGTGCGGTTTCAAGTCCCGTCCGAGGCCGAATTTTTGCAAACAAATCGTCATTCTTTTGAAGACTTAGCGTACAGGGACGATATAGCTCGGTCAAGTGCTTTAAAAGGTGTTTGGATGATATAGGTGTGATAAGTCTTCTTGCTGAAGACATTAATCGATAATTTTCAGTATGGTTCCACGTTACGTTATTCTTTTAGGTGGATCGGTAGAATTTTGATTCAATGGAACGTCTCTGGGGTGGGAGGAGGGGTCTTTGGTGGTTTGGGCTTCGAATAGTGGGAGAAGATTAAGTATTACGGTTCCCGCAAGGAATGTCGGTGAGTGTTGAAAGACGGTGATGTCACAGCGAAGGCGCTTCGAAAGAGCGGCATTGTCACCCAGTATTGAATCATTCTATGATACTTGGCCCAGGTTGAAGCATTGTTCTTTCTTGAACTGCTATTTATGCGTTCTCCTTTGTACCTTTATTCGATGTGATTGCTTCGTTTTGTTTAAGATTTGCGACAACTATATGTTAATAAGGATAAAACAACCGGAATTGGAACAGTCTTGACACTTGCAAATGTCGGTGGGCTCAGATTGAGTTCAATAACAGTAGGGTTCCAATGAAGCTACAGGGTTTCGTGGAAGTAATACGTAATTGCAGGTTAGCAAAACGTCAACATTTTTATTGGAAACAAAGCATGGGTTGTAAAGGTCCTAACGAAGAAGTAACGGGACCCAGTGGTACTGTGTGTGTGTTTTCAATGGAATGACCTCTTCCCTGCCGTCTATGTATCGTCTCCATGGTTCTTGGCTTTCGAGTGCGGATATGTACTGTGACCCTGGATCCATAATTAGATGTATGTTGGGTAATATTCCCGTGTACGAGTGTCTATGGGATGACCTCACTTTTTAAAAGGTTCGTGGAACCACTTTTCTACGCTTTTCTAGGTAGCAATAATACGTTTGCACTAAACTACGTTGTCAGGGTAGAGGAGGAGAATGGAGCTTACAGGAAATTAATTAGCTGCGATGAAAGCTTATAAGCCTATCAACATCAGCTTTACATATCGTGATTACAGTGGAGTGCTCACTCATGCAAATGACGTTTGGGGAACAGCGAGGCAATAGGCGATGAACGAGGCGTGGGCATGGTGTGAGAGCTGGTAAGAGTCAATAACATGTAATTACGGCAAAATTAGCCCAACATCTTGGACCATTTCGCGATCACGTTAGTAAACGCTCAGTGATTGAACACTTCCACTCTCACTTGTTACTCTGAACGAACCCTTACTTGAAGGCTTTAGACTTTTCATAAACGAATAAGATTTCCATGAAGGGGATGTGAGAGAGGCTCAAGTTGTCGTTGATCTTGTGCTTAATGCAGACTGTAGTGAGCTCCATGCTTTGGAAAGAACAAGTCCACATATCGAAATACTGTAGTAGTCCTCAGCCCTTGAAATTAGTCCCAAAGTCGACTGTTGCCGCTAATAATCCGCTCTGAGGCTTGGATTGTGAAGCGCATCGGAAAATGACCTTGAGTGTGCCAGCTGACTTCGACACGTTGACTGGGATTTCGAACCGCCTTGTGCGTTCATACAGAATTGCGACCCGGAGACGGACTGACTTCGAGTACTATGCGGCTTGCTTCAGTTCCCTATAAGTTGGAGCTTGGATGATTAGGCGATCCAGAAGAATTCAACTTGAAGGATAAGTCTTTAAACGTTGACGAATCCCGTCTGAGGGATGCGCCCCAGTCCAAGTCAGTACTTTCATCCTCTCAGATGTTTGGTTACTAATTAATTGAACCCTGAGGAATGAAAGGCATGTTTGCCCTAGAGTATTGATTCGGGATCCGAACCGCCTACCATGCGTTGGTGAAAGTGCGTCATTCACCACTGCACCACGTCGCCCCTTCTGTTCTCTTACATCGACTAGAAAGCGTTGATGATTACTGAATCGTTATGTTCGAACTAAACCGGTCTTCAAATGTGTAATCTCTGAGTCCAATATTGGCGACTTTGGTTCCAGTACAATTTCTAAAAATGTTTTAAAGTTTTTCTATTTCGAAATTGTGAATTATTCTGAAAGTTTTCGCAATTCATGTCATTGCCGCTATTTTTAATTCATGCAATACGGACAGCTGTTGTGACTCAGAGGCGGTGTTGCATGGCAATTGTCTTGTTTTTTGGTTGAGTAGCTGGTGACTCATTGAAACCAAATATTTACATTGTTGATATCCTCGACAAGCCGTTATGGTTCTTTCAAATTGAATCATACCACCTCTTTACTTCCTTTATAAAAGTTCTGTTAGCATAAACTTTCCGCACGCTTCCATTGAACTTCACTTACATTCCCAACTCGTTTTCTGTTGCCAGGATCAATAAAGTGCCAAGAGTTTTCGTATATTTATAAATTTTTTAAGTCTTGCTGTTGGAAAATTTCTCATAGAAAGGCATTATCGCTTGCGCTGATCTCGCTCATAATTTTATCTCCCATTCATTGATTTGCCCGTTCGGCATGCACCCCCCAATTCCAAGGCATGTTTTAAAAGCGGCATTTTTAGCCATTTGCTTGGCCTGCTCTTCATAAATGCAGAAGTCAAAAAGGAATTTTCTTTCGCTAAAGCATTAGAAATGTTGTAGCTGGATGAATTTCTTTTGTAATGAAGGTTTTCTTTTTTGAGGGCGTAGATATTGCTATCCTTGATATTCGTTGAAACCCTTTTAAAGTATTTTTCACAATATATATAGTCCTTTTTGAAAATCTTGAAATAAGAAGAGGTTCTTGTTCTTGCAGTAGGCTATGTGATAGCGTTCCATGTTTTCTGGAATAGATTGATCGCAACTGCTATATCCATTTTCTAACTACATTTTTTCCCATTACGCGCTCACATCTCTCTGAATCGCTGTCGGTTTATACTCATATGAGGCACTGCTCCTTCGTTTTATCTGTTTCTTCATTGATCTTTCTTGCGGCGATTATAATATAATGCTAAAATCTGCATGCGCAGTCGCTCTGTAGTCGATTTTTCTTTTCCTATAGAGTATTTAGAACCTGTACTTCATAATGGCGTCTTCTCGCTTCATACTCCCTTCGTGTTAAATTTCTCCACAAAATTTTTTCATAGAACTGATAATTTGTTTCTTTTGTTTTGTGAAAGGTTGCCCGAGTGTTCTGGCTTCGCTCAAAGTGAAAGCTTTGCTTTCAAGTTCTGTATCGCCATCAGTAAACGTGATTGATATATTGAGAATTTGATCAACGTCTTATCAATCAAAAGGCAATCAGCTGCGATAAATCCGGTATCTATTTTGTATGTTGATTCGCTATCCCATCGCTATCCATTGATTTGCTTCGTAGGGCTTTTCCATGGAAGGAATCAAGCATTTGTGGAAGTTTATTCTATTCTGTGAAGCATCGCTATTAGTAGATCAGGAGTGTCTATTCGGCTGCCTATAGCCTAAAAGTCGTCTATCCCGCTCATTGAGGAGGTTGTCTTGGCTGCTGTTACAGCAAAGACTTAAAGTCGGTCCGCAT